CGACCGCGACCTTCTCCCCGACGCGGAGAGGAAGGATCTTGCAGAAGTGAGCGAGACACTTGGATAGTGAACGGGGCCTTAGCGAGTGAGACAGAGCGAGCGAGTCCGAGCGCCCTGGGCTGGGCGCGACATTTCCGAAAGCACCTCAATGGCGAGGCGTGGTGATGGATAGAGAGGGGCTGCGGGGCGCCCGGAGGTGTGCGGGTTGACCCCCACCCCCGCCCCCCGCACCACCAGAGTTCGTTTGCTTTGTTCTGCCGGTTTGAAAAATAAAGCAAAGTCGAGTCGAGAACGGCACAAAGGGACACACCAGCAGCGGCGGTGGCCCCTCACCACGGGCGGGCAGCACTGGCGGAAGCTTTTTAAAAATAGTCGCTTCTCCCTTGCAGGAGGTCACGACTGTTGTGCTGTGCAGCTAGCGCTCTTGGAGGGGAGTAGGAGGGGTGGTGTGGCGAGCCAAGACAATCTCCATCTTCAATTTCTCACTGGTAGTTTTTTTTCCGCGTCTCTAAAAAAGCAAATCATAAAGAAATGACGCGTTTGTTGGTGCGGCGCCAGGCGCTACCGTGCCGCTCCTACGCCCCCCGCTCGCTTTTGTCTTGAAATGAGATCATATGGGGCAGGCTGCCCGCCAGCAGATGGACTGGGGAGGGGGCACCGGCGGCCCCGGCCGGACCACATCGGGCGCCACCACCGGACCGGACCGTCCGGCGAGCAACTCGCGTGCAAGCGACGTGACGTTACGGGGATCTTAACCGCCCGATCCCAATCCGATCCGGACCAGAGTGTGGCGATCCTCGGGCCCGGGCCCCTGCATCCCCGGGTGGGGCGGGGCGGGGCGGGCTGGCCGGGCCCGACCCGACCCAGTCACATGTGCGGTGGTGGCGCCCTGTGTGAGGCCAAGGCCGAAAAATAAGGCAGGCCGGCCTGTGCACTGCCAGCAAACAGTGGACATGGACAGTGGGTAGGTCAACACGACAATGTGTTTGTCTAGGCTGCCTAACATGGTGTCTTAAGTCAGTGAAGGCGTGCAGATTTTAGGGAGCATAAACGTCTTCTCCAGTTTCTTAATTTTTTTGTTTTCAATGGTATTGAACTGGTTTTTACACATTGTTACACTAGTAATAAAATCACCATGCCCTCAGTGAAAATTGAGAGTGCCATCAGCACACAGTAATTAAAATCATGGGAAAATCCTTCAAGTGAGTGCAGCCTCAAACGCCTTCAAGTAATCGTTCACATTAAACGAAAATATATTCCCCAGCTAGCAGGACCCTTTTCAAGCGTATGTATATTTCCAATCCACAGCTGCACTTACTTTGGGGGAAATAAGGTTTGCAACTGGTTCGCAATAACATCCTTTCCCCGTTAAGTCTTGATTGCTTTTCATTTATTCCATAGCACAAAATAATAATCAATCCTTTGGCGTGTCTGCGTCACCGAGCTCAGCAGCGCGACGTTCCCTGTGCCGCGCCGCACAGTGCAAGCAGTCTATCGCGCACAACGGCGCATAACCCATCCATTGAACCCCGCCGCTCTGCTCCGCGCCACGCCCTCCGCGCCGACACTTTATGCTCCTCCCCTGGCTTTGGGACCCGCGGACTCGCTCGCCGCCATACGGCGTTGTATCCGCGGTGTAGTTTTGTTGTGATGCCCACCCGTGCACATACCTCGCGCCTGCCGGCTCGCCGCCGCCCGGGCCGCGCGGCGGGCGGACCATATCCTAGAGGCGCGGCGGCGGCGTCCGTCCCTCCCACTCGGTACGTGCCCGGCGTTATCCCGCGCGGCCAACCAGGGCAGCCCGCGCGCCCAGCCGGCACCTCGCCGATGACGCACGACAAAAGCCGTCGCGGGCCGCGGCGGGGCGGCGGCCGGCCCATGGCACCCGGGACATCCCTCTCTGTGACCAGTCGATAAGCGGGGGGCCATAAAGGATGAACGGTCGACGTGAAGTCGTTTGTCGTCGAAATGCATAACAGCAGCCTTCTCCTCGGTCGCACCACCGTCGCATGTTTTATTTTTTTCTTCCTCTCTTTGCGGTCGAGACGTGTCGCGCGCGCGCCCGCCCGCCGCGCTCACCCGCACCGCACCGCACCCGCTAGCCTATGATGGTGACTTGAACGCAAGGCAGACCGAGAACGCAAACGATCTGTGCAGCTATCTTTCGAACCTTCTAATCGGGTGATACGCAAACGATGCTCTGTTGCAGCTATCTTTCAAACCTTTTTTAGCAAGGTGATACATTCAACACTGAACGAGAAAACGACGAATCTACATCACACTAGTTTATTTCTTTAGGGGACACATTAGAAAGTGTCGGTCCGTCAGGAGACTGTTCCCAGAAAACCATATAGTCTAGGCAACCAAATGCACAACTGATGAAATAACTTAGCCAAGCAAACTTACAATATTGCGTTAAAAATAAGGTTACTAAATTCAAGTCGGTTTCAGGAACTGGATTTTTAATTCGTACAGTCTTGATTTAGTTAAATTCAAATGGTTCTCTGTGTGTGTGGTGTGGACCCTTGTGCCCAGGAGCAGTCGCTGCGTCCTGGTCGTGGAGTGAGACCCTACCCGTTGGGGGCGGGGCGAGGCGGAGAGGCGGGCAAGGCCAGAGGTCAGGGGGACTACTCAATTCTAATGGGGCTTAAAGGCAGCACTGCTGCTGCAGCCCGTGCAGGCCGTGCAGGCCGCGCAGCCCTCCCCGCGCTGCGCTGCCCGTTGTAAATACTGAGCTCTCTGTGGCATGTCGCAGCCGCGCTGGCCGTGTAGGCCGCCGTGCAGGCCATGCCGAAGGCCCGGGGCTGGGCTCTCCTTTTCTGCTGTTCCGCCGGTGGCGACCTGCATTGGGCAAGCTGGCAGCGACAGCGACCTGGGTTCCACCTGAGGACAGGCGCTTTCCAGGAAGCTCATCGTCGACGGCGGGCCTGCTTGAGGGTCTCTGTGGGGAAGGACGAACAAGGAGGTAAGGATGAACGGGCTCTGTATCTTTGAATGCACTGCAGTGTTGCTGGTTAAGCGTACTTCATACGTAAGGCGCCATGATGGCCCCTGCGGCCCTAGCGAATCGTCCAGGGATCGTCTAGGGATCGTCCAGAAGGTACTTCCGCCTTTTCACAGATTCATTCGGCATATTGCGGGGAGCTCGGCGCCTGCGAGGCTTCGGGTCGGCCCCCCCGCAGTACACGGGTGCACTGCAGGCAAGATGTTGCCTATCCATCAGGCGCTATGAGAGCTCGCATAGGCTGAACTTGGCACGATGCGCGCACTCTGGAGCT